ACCTTGACCGCCACCTGCAGACGTTTCTGAATATGCAGATAGAGTGCAGATATAGTATGTACGGTATACAGCTGATATTTGTCGGCGCCAGGGTAATCCAGCATTATAAGCCCATTCTTACGCTATGTCCCTTACCTATAGGTGCTTGTGGCGTTAGTAGTCTGTGATAGGTGCTGAGGTACCGTGACTGGGGCTGAGATTTATCCTCCCCTCCCTCCCCATCCCCCTCCCTCGCAAACATGGCACAACGCCCGTCACAACTCCTGGCTTGGCCACTGGCAAGGTGAACCGTTTTGAACAAAGTTTGCATATGCTTCTCCTTTCCCGAAAATCTCTCAAAAAGGCGTGCCAGGGAACCCCGTGGAAAGTGAACCTCTGAACAGTTAGTCGGTCGCTGCCACTCTGTTCTGGGGATGTGCGGGAGCCTCTGAACAGCTAGTTGGTCGCTGCCACTCTGTTCTGGAGACGTGCGGGAATCTCTGAAGTCAGTCGGGCGCTGCCACTCTGTTTTGGAGACGTGCAAGCGATATCAAGGCTCCGTGACACAGAAAAATGATTGGTCTAAACAGTCGCGTGGACAAAGAGGGCATTTTGGGGTCTGATCCCACTCTGCAGCGAAAAAGTACTGGGGCCGAAGGGTCTAGTCCTTTTGCAGTTTAAAACAAGTGAAAAGCTTCTGAATCATACAGAACGAGCCCCGGGGCTTTGAATTAGGACCAGATTCTTAGAGAGCTCTCCGAATAACAAGCAGAGTTTCTATAGCGACGAGGAGACCCTATCGTAGGGAAATCCGGGCTACGCCACTGCGTCCGTCCAGCATCGCGCGTCCACGGTTTGTTCGTCCCCAAGCGCTTGACAGATACGAGCAGCGCAATCCATGGTGAGTGATTCGGCAGCAAGCCGTCCTTCAGACATGGTGCTATCATGAAAGCCGGTCGCGTTTTTATCACAAATTCGATTGTCCTCACAATATGGGGCAAACATTACGGAACTCATTTTTGTCTTTGACAGATGCGAGATAATCGCTGAAGGCGATTATCTGACAGGTGTACCTTCGCGGGTAAGACTGCCTTCGTCTGACCTTGGCGGGTAAGACTGCCGTTTCCCCACCAACCTTGTTGCTAAAACTGTTGGAGCACACTCACCTGTCACGCCATAGGTTGCAACTTTTTCTGACCTTGACCGCCACCTGCAGATGTTCGTGAATATACAGATAGAGTACACATATCGTATGTACGGTATACAGCTGATGTTTGAATGTGTACTATTTGTGTACTATTTATTAATTTGTGTGTAATGTTTAATGTGTGAATGTGTAATGTATGAATGTGTTTGAATGCATGAATTGTTTGAATTGAATGTACAGCTGATGTGTAGAATGGAATCAAAGGCATGCAAACTTATCTCGGTAGGTGTGGGTTCATTGGTTTGCACATTGTGTTTCCGCCAGGTCGTGTTACGGATAATTGCATTCTGTAAGCATTTAGCTGGTAACAGATTTATGCATTATCTCATGAAATAATGGCACTTCATTGTCATAACTGTGTGATTGTTCGAGCTCACTGTAGGGTAATGAAATAGTCTTATCTTGTAGGTGCTTGCCAGTATCACATTTTGTGATGCAGGAAACTATTGCCTATCCGAGATCTTGTGGATAATCTATATGTTTTTTGCCTAGCGTCAGTGTGTTGGTTTGCTTGTTAAGCACATTTGTCCGCATCGGGGCCGGGACGGCGTAACCGATTTTTAGGCGGAACGGTCTCTGGTGTGGCCAGTGCAGTCCCGTTTTGATTACGGGGCGACGCGCGGCTGGCGTGTGGCACGTGCTAGATGGTCCATTTTTAACCCCTTATGCTTAACACGGGCGTAAAGAGCTCACGAAACAGTAACAAAACGGCAACACATAGTGTAATACAGGGCGGACATGTTGGCAGCGTACGGTCTTAGCGACAGCGATGGCATTGCGAACTTTCACCGGGAAGTTGAATGGTGAATCGCATGAAGCCGCGCGCAGGGCTATGCGTGCTGTGCGGCATGCGTGCATGAGTGATCAAGATAGATGTGTCCGTTTTCGACGGTCTTTCACGCCTTATGCCATGCCTTAGCAGCCAGAGTAGCTAGAGGTCCGAGTCTGCAACTTCAAAGCGTCGAGCAACGTACCGTCCACAATCCGTGCGAGCAGCACGACGTTGTGCGCCGCTGGCTGCGCCAGAAATCATAGGGCCAGCCAGGAATGGCAGCAGCTCGAAATACAGTCCCGAATGCAACACGCTCATGTAAAAATCGTCGGCAGGGTCACGGCATAATTATGTCATTATGCGCACCATTCCTCTCCTCTGTTCACCACCATTTTAGTTCACGTCGGTTGCCCTACGCTGCTCATAGATAAAGTTAAAGAGCTTTAGTTCAGCCTTTTCACGTGGTCCAAATGGTGCCGTTTATTTGTCCAGTCCCCGCTGGCGAATATTTTAAGCAAAACGGCAGAACACGTAAGCGTCATATATTGATGGTAGCCGGTCGTGGTTATTCATGTTTGGCTCATTCATTAGCTCCAGCGAAAACGGTGAGCCGCGTCATGATGAAATGCGTCATTTGAAGCCATTACTTTGCGAAACGTTAGGGACAACATGCCCATTGGGCGAAATACAATTTATGACTTGTGTAGTGAGAGATCTCACGAAATGCAATTAGTTTACGCGGAGCCCACTGCTACGGCAAAACATCACGCCCAGTGGTTTCACCATGTGTATTTTGGAGTCATTACAGAGTATGGCAACACATTAACACGCGCTCGGGTGGGTGGTCAAATTGACCTCCCCGAAGGTTTTTCCAGAATGATTTCCGAACGGCGCGGCGTAGCCGTGCCAAATTTTGCACAGCTATAGACGATTGAATAGCGGATCGTTCGACAAAAGACAACTTTGGCAGATCAAAGTCAGACCATGGTTTCGGTGACAGCAATTTCTAGAGAATCGTCCAATCTGATAAAATAACGGAGATTTTGATGAAGCCATACGTCTCTGAGATGTTTTTTTGGGCACCACAAATATTGAATAAGTAAATGACGTTGACCTAAGGTCAGACCAAGGTCAAAGCCAACCTGATTTATTACTCTAGGGCTTGCTGTATGGGTTACTTTGTGGCGCTCATTTTGAACTCATTGTGAACAGAAACCGCATTATACATCTTCCATTGACTTGTTAGAGGTCATAACAGGTCATTGACCCAAAATAACACAAGTCGACTTTTGTTTTAGGGACATACTGCCTAGCGTAATATTTGTCGCTTAGTCAAATGCAAAACTTATAGCAATCACAGATGATTTTGGCCATCTTGACCCTCAAAAGGTCAAACAAGGTCACTGACTTTAAATGAGCATGTGACCTTTTGCTTAGAAACGGTTATCTAGGTTCTGGGGGCACTTTGGAGTCCAACCTGGAACGTGACTTTATTTGACCTTTTTTGAGCCGAAGGTCATAATCTATGAACCTGAAACCTTGACCTAAGTGAGTTCACGTACAGTTCAACACACCCTGTAAATTCTGTATCTCTAGCTTTCTTAGTTCCCGAGATCTAAGGGGGTTAAATTGGCCCCCCACACCCAAGCGAAAGGTATCTAACCGGCCACCCGGGCGCGCGTTAAGGCATTCGCAGCATCGCTCTCCCGGCGCGCATTCGCATGTAAAGAGAAAAGAGGAAGGGACGACCAGTCACCGAACGATTGACGCCAAACTTGGTGGAGATTCACCGCATGTCGCTGCACGGAAAATCGCCTTCCAGGTGAAGCTCGCTTCTATGATCCGCAAGCATCCCTGGTACTTAGCATATCTCGCCTGATGCCCTCCAGATATCCCGGGTAGCCGGAGCTTTCATTGACCAGGAAATATATTAATTATGTTTCATACATTCGGCAATAATGCCGGAACAAATCGTATATAGGATATATCGGAACTTTCATGCGTTTCTGAGGAATCAGTTCTGTCGCCCAGTGAAGCAAGCCCGCAGGTACATGTGTAGGATTTACTTACATTCCTAATCAAGGTAAACATTAATGTCCATGGGTGCGTAAGCATATTTCATCGTGTGTTAAAAGCTGCATCAGGTACAAAAGCTGACTGATAGTGAATTTTGGTCTTCATTGGTACTGTCTTACCGATGGTTTGTGATTGTGATCAAGGGTGTCGCTTTGCATTATTTTGTGAGGGATCAATATCGGGCGAGGGCTATGCATTGTGCATTTCTATTTCACGGTCACGATCGCTACACTCAGACGAAACTGAGCTAAACAGCCATATGCTGTGAGACTCAACAAGTCGACATTCGTAAAAATAAATGGGCCGAATCCGTCAAGAAATATGCGCTTTGGAGGAGGGAGGTTATAGGGCCTCAATCCCCCAAATAATTTGCAAAAATCTACGCCTCTGAATGTTATACTGATGTGTTTGATGTCTGACCTAAAGGTGGGCATCTGTGTCATGCGTTTTGTTTATTTTCTTGTGAAATGAGATAGTCATGCATTTGGTCTTGTCTCGTTCTACACTCACTCTGTTGTGTTTTTAACTCTGTACAACCTCATTGGGTCAAATTTGACATGCATGAGACCGAAGGCATTTTGTTATGTTGTTACCAGTGTTGATAACTGGGATTGAGTTTTTGGGCGCTGCTTTTAGTCAGTGCTGATGTCTATTATACGAATGTTGTACAAATCTGTGCCCACAACCGTATCCATATTTTTCTAAAGTGTTTCGCCCGATCCGCGAATGCAGTCGTTCGATATTGGTACCGGTGGGTCACCAGGCCGATGAAGGCCTCTGGAGCCAACCAACCACCCGCGAAACAAAACACTGCGTTCGCCGCGTCACGGCGTCGGGAATGGAGGATCGCTGTGCGCTCGCCATTCCGCGAAATCGGACCACATGACGCCAGCGATTCTTTGTTTTCCAGATGCGTGGCCGACTGAGGCACCGGTCGCCGTGTCACCGGTGAGATCACCGTCACCGTCAGCAGGCGGCGTGTGACGCCACCCACTTCCGGTGCGCCCGTCAACAAACTGCGCCCGTCACCGCTATCGAGGGTCGAAGGTCCTGACACGCGGAGGACGTGGCCGAAGCAGCGACGCCCCTACATAACGGCCGCCGGACGGTGGGCGAGCAGCAGTGGAGCGGTGACCCGGGGAGCGATCGCACCAACGCCGTCCAGAGCGCAGCACGCCATGACTGGCCTGGTGAGCTCCCGCGGGAGAACAGCGCCTTAAGCCGCTGGTCTGCGCGCCGAATCTGCCGGGCTGCCGCATGATCCTTGTCGCGTTGCGCTGATCAAACCATGACAGTGGTAAACAGCATAATTTGCGAAGGAGTGCTAGTTTGACAGCGCAGATGCTTAGACCGTTGTCAAGCCCTTGCATTCAGTTAATGAAGTTAAAAGGCATCTTGGCCACTGTATGCATCGCCAGTGTCTGAACATCCAAGGGCATCCTCATTTCTAGCTCTTCGTATACGGTGTGTAAGCTGTCCTTTGTAATAAGAATGCACGCTATGGTAGACGGAAATTTCTGTGGCTTTTGCCTTGATCGTAGGTCGTTCTCATGTTTTCAGATTAGTTTTGCGGTACTTGTGGTATGTGCATCAGCAGCTGTCAGAAGACCACTGGGGCTCAGCCAGGACGGCACCTACTGGCCTGAGAAGGCTCAGGGCCGTGAGCGACTCCTGGGGCTCAGCCAGGACGGCACCTACTGGCCTGAGAAGGCTCAGGGCCGTGAGCGACTCCTGGGGCTCAGCCAGGACGGCACCTACTGGCCTGAGAAGGCTCAGGGCGGTGAGCGACTCCTGGGGCTCAGCCAGGACGGCACCTACTGGCCTGAGAAGGCTCAGGGCGGCGAACGACTCCTGGGGCTCAGCCAGGACGGCACCTACTGGCCTGAGAAGGCTCAGGGCGGCGAACGACTCCTGGGGCTCAGCCAGGACGGCACCTACTGGCCTGAGAAGGCTCAGGGCGGTGAACGACTCCTGGGGCTCAGCCAGGACGGCACCTACTGGCCGGAACTCGCCGACAACTCTCACGGCGGAGCCGGCGCGGCTCGCGGAGGTCAGGGGTCAGGGATGTCCAGTCGCCGCCAGCGTCGTCCGGAGGGGCTCAACGGCAACCACGGCTATGGCAGGTCCTTCAACCCGGCCGCCGAGTCTGCCGGATCCCGGCAGTAGATGATCGCGCCTGTTCGGTGTGTGTGTGCGTGGGGGGGGGGGGGGCCGGCCAGGCCTGTCGGCCTGCGTGGCTCAGCTGAAACGGAGTGGCTCGAGCCGAAAGGTCTTTAGCGAATGGCAAGAGTGGTCTGGGCCCGGCACTGCAGATAGCGCACTAATGTTCTGACTGTCCGATCTGGTCATCTAACTCGACCGGTGGGTGTCGCAACAAGGCGCAATGGCCGCCGCCCGGCATTGTAACGGGGCGCAACGGCCGCCGCCCGGCACTGCGGTGACCGGCGGAAAACTGTGCTCCCTGGATGGCTGGGACCAGCAGGCATCGGCATGGCCCCAAGGCTTGTTGTAGACGTCCCCCTGGATGGCTGGGACCAGCACGCATCGGGACCGTCCCGAGGCCTGTTGTAGACGTCTCCCAGGATGGCTTGGACCAGCACACATCGGGACCGCACTGCAGCCTCCTGTTGTAGACGTCGCTGAAGTGGCCATATAGTCGATGTTTTCGCTCTTGTTTTGGACGGTCTGTACGAAAATGCACTGGAATGCTCTGCGTTATTAGAGCAGCTTGACCTAATGATAGTTTTGGTATTGTTGCACGGTGTCGCTATCGATTTGGAAAGATTTTGCGTGCATTGCTACCTCCTACTCTGATATCTTGTTACTAACCAGCCAATGTTGTCAAAAAAGATTAGTAATTACACCTTGTTGAATGGTGCCATACCATGCCGCAGGTAAATAAACAAATAAGCGTTACATTTTCTGCTGCACAAGATCACACAAAATTTTGAAACGCCTTTCAATGCATGAAACAATGACTTCCTTCCATAAGAGCCATGGCAAATAACTTAGAAAGTATAGTCTAAGCGGTAAAACAAAAAGAGTCCTGTTCCACAATGTTTTAGCACGATTTACCCGGCCACATAAAGAAGACAGGTGGGAGCAACGACAAAAATACCACACACAAAATTTGCCTAATAATGCAGTTATTTATACGCGCCAGAGGTCGTTACATTTCCTCTACCCAGCCCATCTGCTATCCATGGGGCTGTGTCAATATCTACGTACTAATCTTTCCGAATAATAAGAATTAAGAACGGTGCGAGGCAAGCAGACCCCACCCCCCCCCCCACCCCCCTCACCCCACACACACGCACACCCACCCACCCACCCACACACACAAACACACACACACACACACACATGCACACACACGCACGCACACACATGCACGCACGCACGCACGCACGCACGCACGCATGCACGCACGAACGTACGCACGCAAGCACGCGCGCATGCACTCAAGCACGCACGCATACATGCACGCACGCACCAAACACAAACTCATGTTAGGATGGCCGAAATACCACAAAAGAAACGCGGAGTGTGATCTGCTACCATTATTATCTTTCTGCCTCTCGGCATATGACCTTTTTTGACCTGTTTGTAAACATCGCACGAAGTTGGCATGCATCGCACGATATGAAAAAGAGGACGTGCTCTTTTATGGCAAGGAAAGTATGGTTGTAAAACGGTGAAGAAATCCACGAAAGTGTTCGGTGCCTTAGAACGGTGGCATGAACTGACACTGAGTATCAGCTCAGGACCAACATTACTTTGTCACCTGGTGAGACTTTTAATGGCATTTAGCATGCTTCTCAACAGATGACATACAAAAGGTCAACATATATTCATGTAAGGAAAAGAACGCATGAATACTGGCGCCCAGCAGTTCTGGTTCTAACCAATGTACACTGGTGAAGCAGACCTCATGGGTAAATATTCTTTCGAAGAGGTGTATGACATTAGTCCTACTATTACTGCCAAATGTTCAAGTAAATGACGCATTGCTTCAGATGGAACTTTGTTTGTTGTGGCCTATCTGATGTCGTTACAAACTTTGTGTCGTCGTCGTCGTCGCACAAACTTTGGACACTAATCAATATCATTCCATCGGGGCAGGTGTATAGCAGGTCAGAGGAGTTTGGTCCGTTTGTTGCATGTCATTCCACCGTACCACACTGATCGCATTGCTCAACAGAGCTACACATCTTTCTTGAAGTGAGCCCCACCTCGCCCCCGGTCGGAGTCGCGCCAGGTCCGCCTGACTTGGAATGGCCCGTCGGCGGCGGCCTCTGCTCGGCCCAACGCCAGGCGTCGCCGCCGTCGGCCGCGAGCAGGTGGCCGCCCTCGGCGCGCTGCGCGCCGCACAGCCGACGTTGGGCAGTGGCCGGTGCGGCGCGGCAATCGATGTGTTTGATGGCGACCCGCTCCGTGGGAGACGCATATTTGATCAGGCCGAGCAGGTGCTGACGCCGTCACGATGATGACCCTGCGGCCACATTTGGTGCTGAGCCGGCAGCGGCGGCGGAAGCGTCCCGCCATGTCCACGGCCGACGATGCAGTGTCGGACACGGCGGTTCGGGTCAGCTCGCGGGGCTCGCCTCGGCCGGAGGTGCTGACGCCGTTGGGCAACGGCGAGCCCCCCGTCTCCGTGGCACGTCTCCTGCGCCAGGAACGTCTCAAGAAGGGACGCCAGCAGCGGAGGCCGCTGCGACAGCGCGTGCGTGGCGCCACGCTCACCACCGCCAGCCTGCTGGTTATCGGTGGCGGCGCGGCGCTGCTCTTCCTCGTGCCGATCGTGGTGGACCCGGCCGTGGCGACCCTGCGCGCCGACTTCGCGCCGCGGCCGGCCGCCTGTCGCACCGAGCGCGTCGAACGCTTCCACACGCTCTCCGCCTGCGGCTGGAGCTCGTGCCGCGAGGGCTGTACCAGCGACCTGTACCGATGTCTTCACGTCTACGTCAGCTACGTCCCGGCGGCAGACGAGCCGGCGCCACCGCCCGAGGCCGTGCTGCTCATCAACGTGAAGACGTGCGGCTACCCGCCACGCGTGAACTGCTCGGCCTTCGAGCTGGCGTACGGTGTGGAGGGCCGCGAGTTCCCCTGTTACGTAAGCCGAGCCAATCTGAGCGTGACGGTGACGGATTTCCGCGAGGGCGAGTCGGCGGTGCTGCTGGCGGCCGGAGTGGGCGCGCCGGCCGCCGCCATCCTGCTGGGCGCCATCACGGTGGCCCTGCTTCAGCTGCAGCCCGCCTGCTGGAAGCGGCGGAAGGTGGGCCACGCCGAGTCGCGGCCACCAGTCAGCCAGAGGTGAGTCAGAGCCGATACGTGACCTGGATACGGCACGAGATGTGCTGGGGCCTCGCCCCTGCTCCCAGCGAGGGGCAGGCTGCGCAGCGGAAGGGGCCCGGTCTGGGTAGCGGTGACTTGAAACCTCCTCCGTATGTAGGTTCGAGTCGGGTCGGATGTAGGTCCGAGTCGGGTCGGGCTTAAGATCGAATCCGGACTCGTAACTAGGCAGTACTTGAGTTGAAGTGAACCGATCCTACTCACGGATAATCTGGACTCACGACTAGGTAGTACCTGAGCCAAAGTGAGCCGATCCTACTCACAGATCATCATGCACGGATATTGATGTGTGTGGAAGTTTCACAGACCTTACCCCGATCAATGCTTTTTCCCAGACCGGATCTTTCAATTTAAAATGCAGCGGACCCTGCCTCAGATCCGGATTCAAGCCCCATCAGTGTCAATCAGACCTTTTCTGGATTTCCCGCACATGTGGGATGCGGACTCAAACTAAAACTAAAACTAATGGTGTTGGGGCTCAACACAAGACTGAATGAGGTGGAAGTGAAACCATTCCTAATACGCTGTCTTTCTGTCGGCCAGGACATGCTGGAAGCCCACCTAAATAAGAATTGCACAGATTGCTTACAAAGTATCCACTGAAAAGAAACTGCATTGTTTTGAGGCAATGTGTTGTAAGCACACGCTTAAAAAACAACTGCTAACGTACCCTTCAAACCATCTAGAACCCACTTTTATAAATCGAAATACCATAGACATAAATACTGGGTTTGGGTGCACCCAACCAAACTCAAATAGAAGGATTTTTCATCACTGAGAATACTTTGTAGCATAATTGCCAAAAACTCGGGCAATCCACTACATGGCCCGAGTATATTATAAAAATTGGATGGAATTCCATTTTAACACATGCCCGGAGGAGAATCAATTTGCGCCTTCCCCCCCCCCCCCAAGATCTTTCCAGAATAATTTCCGAACAGCGCAGCATGCCGCACCAAATTTGTACGACTTTCGGTTTCCTCGAACGGCCTCTGGCGTGTCAAAGTCAGGCCGTGGCTGCCAGCGGAGGTAATTTCTGGGGAAGTCGTTCAATTTGATGCGATTCTGGAGCGATAGGCGAGGACTCTGATATAGTCCATCATGCAATACGGCATTTGAAGTTAGGATTACGAGTCCTACTGAACTAGGTTCAGGTATGACGGTAAGACCGAGGTCAAAACCAACATTTTTTTTAGCTCGGTAGCTTGTTTTATGAGGTAGATTCTGATGCTTATTTTGAATTACTTAATAACAGGAACAGCAACAGATGTCTTCGATGGTAAGCTACTGACCTACAATGACCCAGATCAACTTTTCGTTCTTACACACTTACCGCCTAGCGTATCCTTAGGGCTTTATCAACTTAAAAATCAAAACAATCTCTTAAATTTTTGGTCACCATGACTTCCTCAAGGTCCAACAAGGTAACGACCTAAAACGAACACCAGCAAACTTTGCTAAGAACGGATGTCTAGCTTCAAGGCCGTTGCACAGGGAGGTCTAGGGCACTTAAAGCATCAATATTGAGTTTGGCCTCGTTTGACCTCACTTAGTCTAAAGGTCATGAGCCATGGATCTCGCACTTTGACATAAGTGAGTTTAGATACACCCCAACGCACGCTGTGAATGTTATGTCTCTATCTTCCCTAGTTTTTTAGGATCTTAAGTGGTGAATGCCCCCCCCCCCCTACAAGAGCAAAAAGTTTTCAATCGGCCATCCGGGCGCGTATTAAATGGCGGCACGTTTCTACATTTCACCAAAGGTCCGTACTCAAACGCATCTCGCCAACGGTCATTGCCAGTCTTCGGAGCACCTCGACCACACACGGATAAAGATGGATCAGCTGGTCAACGGTTATTATGGCGCCTTGCATGCTAGATGTAGGATTGTTGGACTCATAGCCATCGTAAAAAGGAGATATACGTTCCCAGCACGCCAGCGCTTTGCACGAAATGCATGTCAAAAGGACGGTAGGAATAGCTTATAAGCCAAGCAAAGGCAAGGCAAACGTGTCTGGCTACGCCTGATATATATAACGCCTGTGTGCACGCCGATCCAAATAAAACCGTTTTTCGTCGCGTATGGAACATGGAATTCGCATTGCCAGATCTAGCTGGATCTCCAGTAGGCATCGTATTTTGCCTTTCAGTTACCAGCACGACTTAAATTACAATTACAGGATTTTCTTCTTTGCCACTTCGTGCGTCACTACTTTCAACTCAAACGTGTGCATACCGAGTGTTGTTTTCTATATCTGTTTCCGAGTTCTGTTACCGCTGTGAGGACCGCAGCATGCAGTCGCTTTTGAGGTAGATGGCACTTTAATCTGACATTTTCTGTCCCCAATGAGGCTCACATTTCAGTTGCCTGTCAGATGAACAATACCACCTTCCAAAAAAACGTGTCTGCACAATACGGTCCGTCACAGCGGGCATGTGAAAAGAAAAATAAAACACGGTGCGTACAAAAACACGGCTATAGATCCGAACCTTCAAATGCACGCGCCTGGATGACCGGTTGAATACCCTTCGCTCGGGTGGAGGGCCAGTTTGACCTTTTGCGATCTCAGAAACTAAGAGAGCTAGAGAGACCAAATGCGCAGTGTGTTTACCTGTACGTGAACGCACTTAGGTCAAAGATTGAGGTTCGCGGGCCATGACCTTTGAGTTTTATCAATCAAACCAGGTCAAATTCTCGGCAGGTCTCCGAAATGTTCCCAGAATTTAGACACTCATTCTGAACAAAATGTCACATGCTCATTTAAAGTCAGTCACCTTGTTTGACCTTTTGAAGGTCACGGCGGCCAAAATAATACAAAACTGCCTTGAGTTTTGCGTTAGAATAAGCGACAAAGGTTACGCTAGGCAGTGTGTTCCCCAAACAAAATGTTGACCTGGATCATTTCAGGTCGGTGACCTGTTCAAACCTATAAGAAGTCCATGAAAGATGCATAAAGCGGTTCCTGTTACCAATAAATTCGAAATGAGCACCAGAAACTAGCCCACGCAGCAAGTCTCGAAGTATTAAAGCAGGTTGGTTCGGACCTTGATCTGGCCATTATATCTGACCCTAGGTGAATGGAATTTGTTCATTTAATTGTTGTGTCGCCTAACAAGGCATCTCAGAAGTGCATGGTCTCGTCTAACATTCCGTTGTTGCATCAGATTGAACGGCTCTCTAGAAATTGACTTCGCTGAATCCATGGCCTGTCTTTGCCCTGCCGTAGGTCAGCGACCTTACAAGGTGCATCTAAATTGTTGGCACCGAACGATCCGCTTTTCAGTTCCGTACAGCTATGCTAAGTGGAGCGCGGCTAAGCGACGTCGTAAGGAAACCATTCCGGAAAAACCTTCGGGAGGGGGTCAATTTGATCCTCGCCCGAGCGCGTGTTACATGTCGGTGATAACCTACTCTTCGTGATTTATACAAGGTGGAGCCTTTAAAACACGAGTAGTATTTAGCATTGCTTTCCGCACATCGTCCATCAAAAAAGCGGTATATGCAAGCTACTGCATGCCTACTCTTCTTTTTAAAAACTGGAACTTACCATGTTATGAACTAACATTTCCTGATGTGCCATACATCTCTTGCTAGTGTGGCACACAACCTCACGTGGCCGTGCACGGTTAAAGGTTAACCTCAGCCATATTCAGAAGCAGACAGTTTACATTATCAGCTGTTTAGGGAATAATTGGGTGGTTGGCCTTAACACCGGAAGAGGGTTGCGCTTTTCAAGCCGTGGAAATCTCTTCTCGAGTGAAGCATTTTTTCTGTTGGAATGTGTTAACTGGCATTTGTTTCCCTAGTTCAACCGTTGCACACGATTCTCTTCAAGTGCTAACCACAAAGCTGTAACTGTCGCGGTCCATTAACTCACTTGGGAAGTTTGAACCGAACTGTCTGTTGTCATGATGTATCTATACTTGGCTCATGCGACATTACCTCCAGTTTCTGCTATCTTAGCATGACTGGTGGAAACCGACATGTTTCACTTACTCTGCTGTTTAATTTAGTCTTTGTTACTACTCGTGTTTTATTTCTTTTTGCCATTCTTGGGCATCCACTTTCTGATTGCTGGCTTTTTCTAGTGCACTGGTCACTAGCCCGCGCAAGTAATCCTTTGAAACAACTTTTAATGGCTTCTTCCTGGTCATCTCTTTATGTTGAAACTGCAAATTTTCAGAAAGTTGCATACCATATTCTGAGCATACGTTGCTTCATGATGGCGTTACTGGATGTTGATATGGGATATTTTGGGATAAAGATTTCTTCCCAGCCATGGTCGGCAATTAATGAATTGAAATGGTTCGCAGCAATTTAATGTCATCATCAAATAGACGTCACAATATTGTAATGTCGGTGTGCTCTTGATGGACGCTGCTGAAAATTACATTATCAATGGAAAATTCCACAATATTGGCTCCCAATTTAACATGGCAAATTCACCTGCTTACATTTTGAGCTGTTGGTGTCTGGTTTTTGGAGTTGATTTTACTAGTTGTTAGTGGCAGCGTAGACAGAAAGGGCGCTGGCATGGAGTCGACAAAATTATTTCTATGGTCTCTCTAAGCCGTGTTGAGTACGCGTTAAGTTAAACCGCTGGAAGATAACAACACGTACCTGCGGAGGCGGGCCAAGTCAGCGCCAAACACCCGTGGCAGCATACACATTACACATGTGCACTGCGCAAGACATTTATATCTTGTCATTAAATATCGTTACTTGACATAACGACCACACACCTAGCGGTCACCGCACTAGTCGGAGGCCGCTGCATGCACGAGCATCTCAATATGCAGATCAAGGCGGTCTGCTGAAGATTGGGACGGGGGAGCGGTTCATGCTCAGTACAAAAGTGACGATTGGAATCGAGGTCCCTATGCTGAGCTCGCTCAACATGCAGCTGACGGAGTGAAACACGGCTTCTGGTGGTGGGAGGTAGCTAATTATAACACATCTT